GTGTGTGATTTCTCTTTCTGCCTGGCTCCTGGGTTTGTAGGGACACTGTCTGCTCTGTGGTACAGAGTCCTGATCACTCCTAACTTGTGTTCCAGTGGGTGGTGGGAACCACAGTACATTATTAATGGTGTCCACTTGGACACCCAGTCTCACCAAAATGTCAGAACCTATGTAGACCCACAGAAAGTTTGCTGACTTCCTGTGGGAACCTGTGGGAGGTTTGGGACCACGAGGATCGGGTGGACCAGTTCTCGTTGGTTCCAGATCAGTTTCAGGTTAATGACTCCTTTTGCGGTCAGAACCTGTTTGCTGTTAGTGTCTGTTGGGAAGCGGAAATATTTTTTCACCAGTTGGAGACCTAATTGTTTTTCAGCTAAGGTTTCATAGAAGACCTGGCTGATTGACCTGGCTGATTTATCCATCCAAAGAGATAGAACAGCATCATCGGTGTGAGATCCTTGGATCTGTAGGCCTTTCACCACCTGTGGTGGGTAGTGTTCTGTGGCTGCTGACTGTGTCAGTGCACAGAGGATGGTGTCACTGTGGGTCAGAGTCAGGTCCAGCAGTTGAGCTGCTTCTGACTTAGGTGCAGTTGCAGTCTCACTCACCTGGTCTCTGTTCTCAGGTGAGGGGTCAGTAGTGCCCTCTGCAGTGTCCACTGCTAGGCACTCTGTGTCCCACTCAGGTGGAAGGGTTAATAGCAATGGTTCTCTGATTTTGGTCCAGACTATTTGATCCTCCCAATCTACCGGTGGCTTGACCCTGTGTAAGAGGTCATGGCCAGCTAAAAATTGAACCTAATCTAGTGACGACACATACACTGGGTGCATAAGTGTCATTGGGGCAATCTGTATTTATATCAAAGATACAGTTGATAGATTGGTGTTTATTTCTGCAAAAGTTTTTATGTCAAGAGAACAGTGCTTCTGGATGAGTTTTTTAGCACGATTAGCAGCTGCCTGCAGCTTCTCAAACAGTTTGACTGACATAATTGTTATGTCAGACCCTGTGTCTTGGAGGGCCTCAACTGTGAATGCCTTCTCCAGTTTCAGTGCCAGATAAAAAAAATTTTGCGGACCCCTTTGTGGTTAAATCACAAAGAAAATCCATGACCTTAGGCTGTACCCAAATTCTCTCATTATGCTGGTCAGTCTGTATGTCCTCTTGGTCTGTCTGAACTGTCAGCACAGCACTGGTCATGTCTGAGTCTTCTCCCTTGTGTCTAAGGATGGGATGTCAGTGTCTGTTTCACACATTGAGTCAGTCCTTACCAAGTCGATACATCCTACATGAGATTGATCATCATTATTCTTTTCCCCTGATATCTTCCTTTTCTAATCTAACCACTGAAGGCGGAACTAAGAAAACCCTCTTTAAATGACTAACACAGTTTGCGTCCGGTAGTCAGAAGAAGATGGACCCACTTCCGTCATAAAATTAACTGTTCTCCGAGAGAACCAGCGAGCTTGTGCTGAATGGTTCTACCATTTATCGCCAATGGGGAACCTAGACAGCCACGGGACACACCAACTCCTCGGTGTGACCCAAACAAGAGCTCAAAGTTCAAAGCAACTTTGTTTTGACTTCCTGTGGGAAGCAAGTTTTAATTTTGGAGCCGGGATCCAGTTTGGCATTGACTTCCTTCTGATGGCTTGACGCGGATGTATGCAGATGCTGAAGCTACCATGCCTGGAGTGTCCAGCTGAGTGGACAATCTTGACGGATTTTCTTACTACCTGAGAGACCTCCCCGACTACCTGGATAGGTGACTGATCTCATCTTTAAAGGTAAAAGCTGGCTGTTATGAACATTGATGTCTGGCTGACGCTGAGCAGAGAACCTCTGGTTTCCCACATTGTTAAAGATAAGATTATAAGTTAGGAACTAATATCTTCTTTTTCCTCCTTTTCTTAAACCTTTATTGCCAACCTTGAGTTATTTGCTTCAAGTGTCTGGTATTCAACATCTAAAGCTTGACGTTTGTGTTCTATTTAAGTGCTTGATTGACAATTAATGAAGCTCGAAGCGTGCTTGTTACTGTAGGTTGTAAATCGCGTCAAAATAAGACGCAGAGGGAACCTTGGAAAAGCGTCAATATGTGATGAGTCGGGAGTGAGAACGTGTTAGATTTAAACACCCATGGCACAGCACCCTGTCTAAAATTCTGCCAAGCTGCCAAATCTCTTGTGCGAGTTTGCTTGCTATGGTAACCCCCACAGAGGGGAACATCAAAAAGAAATTCACAGTCCACAATATGAACAAGAAACACATAAAGAATATATATTTTACTATATCATGCACCTTATGGAAATATGCATGTGATTTTGGTAGGTTATGGGAGCTGTAACCATTGCATAAAGACCAGTTTCCTTCTTCCAGGCCAGTTTGTGACATAATGTGATTCATCAGCTACTGTGCATCTAAAAGCTGCTTGATTTGTATTTCTTTTTCTCCTGTTTTGAGACAGTGATTAGCTTGGATTCTAGACTAAATTAGCCATGACTTGCTTTAATACATTTTCTTCTCATCCCTTAACTAGGCAGAATTAGCATACAGAGAACTCAAAAAGAAGAAAATTGTATAGGTCTTCTGGATGGGTTCTTCTCTAATGAAACGTTTCATCTCTCCTCCAAGAGACTTCTTCAGTCTGAGAGTTTCAGGCAAAATTCAGGCTTTGAACCCATCCAGAAGACCTATACAATTTTTTTTTATCCTGGGATTTTGTTGCTTGTTGTTTCGAATGGCTGATTCTGTCTGAATTTCAAAGCCTGAATTTTCCCTGAAACTCTCAGACTGAAGAAGTCTCTTGGAGGAGAGACGAAAAGTTTCATTAGAGAAGAACCCGTCCAGAAGACCTATACAATTTTTTTCTTTTTGATTTTTTACCTGGATTACTGAGATGCATCAGGACATACAGAGAACTGGTATTTATTTGATGTTTTGCAGATTGTAAAAAGGAATAAGTATGTTTTCAGTGAGGGGGTGATAAGTTAGGTATTAAGTGTTGAAAGACAAGTACCACACCCAAGCACATGAGGAACATTTACTGTATAATGCTGATGATGGAAGAGCCATGAACAATATGTATTGGTTTTCTAGTGTTCACCAGGATATGTCACTATAAATTATAAACCATTAATATTACTGTCATGCTGTTAGGTTCAATGGACCATATCCAACCTTTTGGTTGGAGGTTATGGATATGTTATGGCAGCACGACGGCTCTGTGGTTAGCACCGACGCCCCACAGCAAGAAGGTCCTGGGTTCGATCCCTGGTTCGGATCTGGGGTCTTTCTGTGTGGAGTTTGCATGTTCTCCTCGTGCTTGCGTGGGTTTTCTCCTGGTACTCCGGTTTTCCCCACCCCACAAAAGCATGTACAATAKGTTGCCTTCAGGCCCAGGCCTCCCTTGAAAAAGAGATCTGCGATCTTAATGGGACTTGCCTGGTAAAATAACGGTAAATACATGAAATAAATAAATAAATAAATAAATAAATAAATAAATAAATAAATAAATAAATAAATAAATAAATAAATAATATTTGTGTCAAAATGCTACATAATGGATTTCCCAAATGCTTCTTTGAATCACTTGAATGTAATTGAAAGTGAGACAAGGAAACAGCAGTTTCAGAGTTTAGCCACATATATTACAGACACAGACAATAATGAAAGGCTTTATCATACAGTCACATGAAATGCAGATTTAATTAAACACAACATACACATATGCAGTCCTATGACCATACATTTGCTGGAGCCTAATTAATAAACATAGAATACATCAAAGCATAGTTTATTTCTTTTATCCTCTTTAAAGCATCAAAATCAGTAGATGAGGTTGAATGAATGTAATAGGCTACAACACTTGTTTGACAGATGTAATCTTTTTTCCACATGTTAAAGATATGCATTGTTATGAAGTCAAAGAATATCTCAGTACAAGAATAACAGTATGAGACAAAAACTCACCAAACAAAAATAGAAAATACAAAAGAGAATTAATAAATAAATCAAATATATATCATATGAATAAAATACCTATGAGGTGGCTAAGTTTATTATAATTACTTTTTAATTATTTTATTCTGTAGCTTGTATTACAACTATATCTTTTATTTCTAAAACATTTAGACCGGTGAATGACTCAATACTGAAAATACAGTAATAAGCTTTTATAATTAGGTCAACTATGTACACAAGTCTGTTGCCATGCTAGTCAAACAACTAAATGTTCTCTTTTTTTAAATGACACTATACAGTAACAGCATTAAGCGGTCTGAAAGTAAACAGTTTGTGCTGAGAATAAAATACTTTTCAACTATGCATGGTAATTTCTTTAATATTACTCTGAAAAATAAACAGAACAAAAAGGCCACACATGGCAACACGGTGTCTAATTATAGGGAAAGTGAGGGTAGCTGAGACATAAATATAAGAACAAAAACCAGTCTCTCTTAGTTTGATGCCATTTTCTTGTCCATTTGTTTGCTTCAAACGAGTCTTCTCTTCTTCTTCATCCTTGAGCATCTTTTCTTGCGTGGTACAGCTTGTCAAGTCTTAGACTTCCTCACCTGTCTCCGTCCTTCTTCCTGGCTCTCCTGCCTCCATGTTACTTCAATTTCCTCTTGCCCCTCCTTCTCCTATCACCCTGTATGCTTAATGATGGAAATGATGGGAAATGAGTTCAGTTGTGTCAACTGTAAAGGTCCACAAGGCAAATATCAGGGCTGGGAATCACCCGGCTGGTCACATCAACAGGCAGAGAAGCAGTGGGAGGCAGAGCGCCCATTTTCATGTTGGTACCAATATCGCACAATACACTGGAAGGGCATGGAAATGAGGCTGTGCCCTGTGGGGCTAAGTGAAAGTAGGTGGGAGAGGGCTGAGAGGCAGGAGGGGACATAGTGGAGGGTTTGTCGAACCCATCAGTCAGATGAATGCAGCAGTGGCTAGCAGCTTTGCGTTGATTCTTTTTTCACGGGTTGTTTGAGTTCTCACTGGCTGGAGCGAGCGGAGGCTAAATGGTCGCTGTGCTGATTCTGGGCCCGGAACCGCAGCCTCTGCTTGTTCTTCTTTTTTGGCTCTTTGGATCGGTGCTTTCCTGAGCCGCCTGGGTAAACACAAACAGAAGAAGAAGAAAAAAGTGTTTTTAATAATTACAGCCTTCAGTTGTTAGAGTCTGACACTTTTGAATCATAAATGTTTCTGTTTTTCAATGCAACTTGTTTTATGAGCCTGCAATGAAATCAGAAACCTCAAGTGTTACTTTCCAGTAATTTCACTGATTCAGTGTCCAAAATGGTAAGTGTACTCTCTCAAACCACTTGCATTTTTCCCTCAGCTTGAACTTAGTATTTTTTTGTTCTTGCTGTTTTGTACCCTGTATGTATCACAGGTAAAGAAAATAAATGAAAAAAAGAAAAATAAAAAAGAACCTCCTCAGTCTAACTGTGGTTCTGCTTGGACTCGAGCTGTAAATTCTCAGCTTTTGCTTTCCACCTTTTCTTTGGATGTCAACAACAACATGGCAGATGTCTTGGCAAATACTTATAACTCCAAAAACTTGCTGTAAGTCCATCAATAATTGTTAATTAATTTAGTTAATTTAGTTTAGAACAAATGCACAATGTAGGAAATGAAAACAAGAAACAGCAGTAAGCACCAGGGGGGCCTGCAAGATTTTATTGCAGGGTACACACAAACCCATGTACCTGACACACACAAATACAGACCACATGGGCGCAATGCGCGTGGCACACAAAAACATCAACTTGGCACTGTGCCAGGTCCTGACGACAGCCACAGGAGTGTGATGCGCATCTGTCCCACAGGCCCAAAGCGTGCACACACATTTGTCCCGTTTTTGACTTGTCACATTACGAAGTGTCACAGAAAGAAAATAAATGAATAAAAAACATCAACAAGCTAGTTAGTGGCTGCAGTTTGCAACATGTCATCCTTATTTCTTTCTGCGTCCTTTGCAGGAAGGAGAGAGAGAGAGAGAGAGAGAGAGAGAGAGAGAGAGAGAGAGAGAGAGAG